ACTGGGTTAAGTGTGTTTATCTTTTTGGGGGGCGGGGGTGCATCAGTTTCTTGGATTGAGCTCAGGGCTTTGTGCATGCTAAGCAAGTATTCTACCACTGAGTTACATTCTCAATCCTGTATATCAATCATTTATCTATCTCAACATTTCCAATGAGTTAAGGTCTTACTATGTAACTGGCCTGGAACTCATTATGTAGACCAGGCTGACCTTCAGCTCCTGGAGATCTGCCTCTGCCTCCTGAGTTCTGGACTAGAAGATATGTACCACCATGTCCAGCCAACACACACATTTCTTAATTCATAATTTTTGATTGCATTATTATTAGTTGCAGCATTTCTAACCCACATTACAGTTGTTCCTGAATGAATAATCAGCCTGATTTTTAGTGTTAGGGTTTTTTTTTGTTTTTGTTTTTTTTTTGTTTTTGGTCTTTTTTGAGACAGGGTCTCCCAGTAGCCCCAGCTGGCCTGGAACTCACTATGTAGACCAAGCTGGCCTTGAACCTGCAGAGATCTGCCTGCCTCTGCCTCCTGAGTGCTGAGACTAAAGGAAATTTAGTGTTAGTTTTAAGAGACAAGAGTGGACCCAAACTCTGAGAGTTTATCCCTTCAGATCTTTCACAGAACTATGCTCCCAAGGTGTGCTTTATTCAGATTTTTATTGAAACTATCTCTACCATCAATTGGGGAACTACAAGTTTAGACCCACCCTTATCTTATCAAAGGATGTCTTCCTTTGATCCCTAGGCCTAAAGTATCTCCTACACAATGTCTAGCATACTTCTGCTTCTTATTGGGATAGGAAATAGACTGCTGCTTCCAATGCTTTTATATGCTAATTCAAGCACACCCACATTTTTTCACTATCTTGGCTGGAGGGTAAAGTGGGGTCCCTAGGGTTCAAGGTCAGGTGCCCAGGTCTTAAGAGCATATGGCTCAGTGAGCTTCTTCCCATTATAAACAATAGCTTTTTGGTGCAGGTAAAAGTCATTAGTCCAGATTCTGTCCATTTTGTAAATCATGCCTACAAATAGTGGTAATGCTAGTAATCTAAAGTATAAGTGAGTGCTTGGGTTGGGCCTTTAATCCCAGCACTCCAGAGGCACGATATAGTCCAGGCTGGCCTTGAACTTGTGATTCTCGTACCTCAGCCTCTCAAATGCTACAGTTACAGACATGCACCATCACATCCAGCTTTAGGAAAGCCTTTAATGTAGGAAAAATAAATGTATTGCCTTTAATGTTCTCTTCCCACGGGGCCCAACGAACTCTTCATGATATTCCCTAAATGCACAGGTTGGTGTGGGTAGAAGTGCTGCATAGACTAGTGACTAAGTACTTCCAAGTTTGTTCTTCTGCAGACAGGCTGCTTATCCCTCCAGCTACCCACCATGAACACAAAGCATAAAACTGGTCTACAGATTGATCTTAGCAGACCTTAGTGTATCAATGGCAGAATAGATATGGGTATAAATACAGCCCAGCACAGCCAATCATTAGCTGTTTAGCCAATCATTAGCTAATCATTAGCTGTTTTAGCTCTTTATAAGAAGCTCAACTTACACAGGAATCCCTTTGCACAGAGAGCAGTGATATGGAACCAGGTTTCTGGAGTCAGATTCTGCAGTTGTGTTTCTGCTTTTACTATTTACTGACCACTGATTACCTTTGGGCTTCAGTTTCCTCATCAAAAATTGAAGAGTAAGCTAGAGATATGGCTTAGTTGTACAGTGCTTGCTAAGCATATTATAAGCTATCAGTTCAATCCTCAACACTAAAACACATACACGCATGCACACACATACATACATACATACACACATACATACATACGCATGTACACATGCACACATGGAAGAAAATAACAGTATCTATAATCCAGCCACCTGTCTTTATTGTTGTTTGGTTTTGATTCGCTTTGTTTGGTTTTCTTTCTTTCTTTCTCTTTCTTTCTTTCTTTCTTTCTTTCTTTCTTTTTGCTTTGTTTGGTTTTCTTTCTTTCTTTCTCTTTCTTTCTTTCCTTCCTTCTTTCTTTCTTTCTTTCTTTCTTTCTTTCTTTCTTTCTTTCTTTCTTTCTTCTTTTTTCTTTTTTTCAAGACAAGGTATCTGCTGTCTAGCCTGGCCTCTAACTGAATATGTAGCAGTGTCAGGCCTCGAACTTGTCCTCTTCCTGCCTCTACCTCCCAAAGGCCAGAATGACAGGACTCTTCCACCATGCCTGGCCTGTTGTTGATTTTTAAAAATAACTTCATTGAACTATGCATATACTATTGAACTATACACATACTATATACATATGTAGTTTATATATTATACAATCCACTTAAAATATACAGTTTGAGACTGGGAAAATAGCTAGAAAAGTGCTTGCAGTGAAAGTAAGAGGGCCTGAATTCAGTCCCCAGAACCACCTTTTAAAAAGCAGGCATGGTGGCACTTGTAACCCAGTGCTGGGGAGGTGGAGACAGGTGGCTCCCTGGGGCTCACTGGCCAGCCAGCCTAGCCTACTTGGCAAATTTTAGGCCAGTGCAAAATCCTGCCTCAAAAAAACAAGACAAAACAAAACAAAACACCAATGTAGGGCCATGGAGATGTCTCAGTGGGTAAAGGTACTGGCCTCCAAACCTGACTACCTTGGTTTGGCCTCTAGGACTCACGTGCTGAAAAGAGAGAACCAAGTCACCAACTCTAGCAAGTTGTCCTCTGACTTCTACATTTACTCTGTGACACACACACACACATACACACACACACACACACACACAAATAATGTAATATAAAGGAAAGCAAGGTAGATGGTGCCTGAGAAATGACACCTGAGGCTGACCTGACCTCCACGTGCATGTGCATTCACTTACAAGCGCCCCCCCATACATGCACTCACACAAACACATAATCCTATATATACACAACAATAAAAAACATAAAAAAGCAATAAAATATCTAATTCAGTGGGTTTTTTAAAAGCATATTCAAAGAGTTGTACAATAATCACAGGTAATTTTAGAACAATGTCATCAACTCAAAAAAAATAATCTGGGGCTGGAAAAATGGCTCAGTGGTTAAGAGCACTTACTGTTCTTGTAGAGAACTTTGACAAGCTTCGGGCCAATGGGAAACCCTGTCTCAAAAAAAATAAGGTAGGGCCAGGGAGAGGTCAGATCTTTCAGGAAACAAAGAAAAAGAAAAACAACCCAATACTTTAGTCAGCACCTAGACCCTTTCTCGCCCCAGACAACCACTAGTACTCTTGTGCTATAGAGTTCCCTGTTCTGAATATTTCATATGACCAGAATCATGTAACATGTGTTACTTTTATAAGGTTTAGTTATTTGTTTTTATGTGCATGTGTGTGAGTATATATGCACCATATGAGTGTGTCAGATCCCTGGAGCTGGAGTTATAGGTAGTTATGAGCCAGCCAATATGGGTGCTGGGATCTGAACCCAGGTCCTCTGATAAAATAGTAAGCACTCTTAACTTCAGAGTCACCTCTCCAGTTCCCTTTGTATTATTTTTAAACTCTCTATGAATTTGTAATTAATTCTAAATAAAAAATGAAAAATATTGGATCTGGGGCCATAGCTTAGTGTAGTATGTGATTTGCATGTGCAAGGCTCTGGGTTTGATCCCCACCACAAAAATAAGTTGTTTTTTTTTCATTTTTATTTATTATTTTTATTTTATGTGTGATAGGTAGAGAATGGGCGGGAGCGAGCGGCGCAGATGGAGGAGTCACGAGCCGATGGATGAGGCACGGAGGCTCAGATGGAATTCTCAGTGGGACATAGATTTATTTCACATGGGGCACCTTTCCCTCGGGAAGGGAAAGATGTCCACAAAGGGAAAGATGGAAGGGAAGAGAAGGGAAGGGAAGGGGAGGGAAGGGAAGGGAAGAAGGGAAGGATGTCAGGGAAGGATGTCCAGGAAAAATGTCCGCTCACGGGTTGTGAGCTGGGACTTTACATACGGGGGCTTTAGGGTAGGGAATCAGGGAGGGGGAAGCAGGATGTGCATCAGCAGCCGGAACTCTGCTTATCTTTGGAGGTCAGAGGAAAGGCAGGCTGCTTCTCAGCAGAGTTTGTAGGTCCCTGTTGGGGAGGGGGAGGAGGCTGCTATTGGAACCCTAACAATGTGTATGAGTGTATTGCCTGCATGTGAGTGCACCTGTGTCATGCAATGGCTTGGAAGTCAGAAGAGGGTTTTGGATTCCCCTGGAACTGGAGTTAAGGATGGTTTGTAGGCACCATGTGGATGCTGGGAATTGAAACGGGTCCTCTGCAAGAGCAGTCAGTGCTCTTAACTGCTGATCCATCTCTCCAGCCCCACAAACAAGTTTTTTTTAATAAAGGAAGGGATGGGAATGTATCTCATTTGATAGAGTGCTTCACCTTGTATCCTTGAGGCTCTGAGTTCAACCTTTAACACTGCATAAACCAGGTATGGTGGTGCAAGCCTGTAGAACCAGTTCTCAAGAGACAGAGGCATGAGGATTAGGAGTTCAAGGTCATCCTGGGGTACATATATTGCATTTGAGGCCAGCCTGGGATACATGAGATCTTTGCAAAGAAAAAAATGAGTTGAGGTGTTGCTAAGGGAAACACACATACACTGTACTGGGTGGTGGGTACACATGATTAAATGATGATGCGACCACTGCCTCAGAGAGCCTAGTGTTTAGGCAGAAGAACAGGAAGTGGATACTCAGGGTGCAGTGAGGTTAGTGCTCTGAAGGAGGGGACAGTGGCACCAGCAGAACCCAGCCTAGAGAACTCAGGCTGGGGCTGAGCTCAAGGACTGCTCCCCAGAGGAACTGGCTGCCAATCTTTATAAATGCATGTCACGTGAAAAGAATTTGGGACAGTGTGTGGGCACGCCACAAGTCCATGTGGCAACCGTAGAACTAGGCTCTTTTTTGGGACTTTTGCCCCCGTTGGCCAGTGTCTGCTCACTGACTAGCATGCCACACATTCCTCATCCACTGTTTCTTCTCCCCAGTGTCCAACAAGCACCCGTTTGTGGACAGCAATCTCCTCTACCAGTTCAGAATGAACTTCCGTCGGAGGCGAAGGCTGATGGAGCTGTTGAATGAAAAGTCGCCCTCCTCCCAGGAGACCCACGACAGTCCCTTCTGCCTGAGGAAGCAGAGCCATGACAATCGGAAATCTACCAGCTTTATGTCAGGTATGCCCATTCTATTGTGCACACATGCATTTGTCTTCTGAGAAATAATAAAGAGTGGGTCTAGGGATGTAGCTCAGTTGGTAGAGTGCTTGCCTAGCATGCAGAAAGCCACCCCCAGTGTCCTGTAAACCATGTGTGGTGGTACATGCCTATAATCATAGCATTCAGGGTGTAGAAGCAGGAGAATCAGGAGTTCAAGGTCATCCTCCAGTACCTAAGGTATTTGAGGCCAGCCTGGGACACATGAGACAATGTCTCAAAATTGAAAACACACAGGAGCTGGAGAGATGGCTCAGCAGTTAAGATCACTGGCTGCTCTTACAGAGGACTCAAGTTCAGTTCCCAGGACCCATATGGCAGCTAACAACTGTCCATAACCCCAGTTCCAGGGGATCCAATGCCCCTCTTCTGGCCTCCAAGGGCACACACTGCATGAGGTGCACCTACATATATGCAGGTAAAGCACTCATACAAATAAAATAAAAATAAATCTTAAAAATACACACACACACACATGTATACACACAAAGAGTGAGATGCTTAAAGAAGACTTGAAATTGGCTTAAGGAACTTGCTGACTTAAAGTTTACAAGTACAGGATTTAGTGGGCTTAAGGGCACGTGCCTGCAATCCCAGCATTTAGGACAAGGAGGCAGGAGTTCAAGGCCAGGCTTGCATATATAAAATCATGAGGCCCTGCCTCATAAGGGAGGAAAGGAGGGAGAATGAGTGAGGAGAAGGAAGGGGAGGGGAGGGGAGGGAAGGGACGGGAAGGGGAGGAAAGGAGGGAGGGAGGGAGGGGAGAAAGGAAAAAAGAATTACTAGACTTAACTGAGCACAACAGGGACATGCCTTCTCTTAGGGACAGAGTGGATGATGAGGACGCTTACAGCTGTCTGTATGGAGACATGTCTGTGCCTTGGACTTGGTTGTGTCGTTTTTCTCACTTAACTCTTGCCATAACCCTAAGGGAATGATTGTATCCTCATTTTACAGATGAAAGAAGAGACCCAGAGTATTGGAGTGGTTTATACTTCATAGTGGTGGACATAGCTGGGTCTCATATCCTCTGCTTTCTCCAGGGCCTACTATATACTGCCTCCTCTGAGTCCCATCCATCCCAAGTTCCTCATAGCCAGGCTGAAAAGAGAATGAAGCAAGTAAACATAATCACTAGCTGAAGGTCAGCAACCCTAGCTTGTACTTCAAGGTCAACTTGACCTGGCCTAGAGGACACACCCTTTGCAAGTTTCCTTAAGGCTGTCTTCTTTTGCAAATACAGAGTAGAATTCACTTTTTTCCTGGGACAAAGACTTCCCTGCTTCTTGAATGGGTTCAGATGATGGCAAAGAGGAGGATAGAATATCATAGTCCCATAAAGCCAGCATTGATTTTTGTTTTGCTTTATTTTGTCTCCCGTATGTGGGGGCAGTGATCAGAGCACTCTCCATAACTTCTTTCTGTCACTTATAGACATTCAGTCTAGAGAGCCACCCTGCTTTGTAGCAGGAAGAACCCAATCTGAAAACTGAAAACGTGCCTCACATAACTATCTGAAAGCCTCATTATGTGCTGTGTTTAAAGCATGGTCTTCCATGGTTTCAAATGATCAACTGTTCAATATTAAATCAGGAAGAATTTGCTATCACTGTGTATTGCTTGTGTGGCCAGCATCGGGTTTACAGCCAGGAAGGGAATGCTTAGGTTTAGTAGTTCTTGAATTTGTGTCCTCTAGGAGCTGAGGAGATGGCTCAGTTGGCAAAGAGCTTGAGTACACAACATGAGGATGTGGTTCAGATCACAGCACCCACATAGAAAAGCTAGGTGTGACAGCACACCTCTGTAATCAGTGCTGGTGAGGCAGAGACAGGAAGGTTGCTGGGTCTTGCTGGCCATTCAGTGCAGCCTGTTCAGTGAGCTCCAGGATCAGTGAGAGACCCTGTCTCAAAAAATAATGTGGAGAGCAACAGAGCAAGACACCTGAAGTGACGCCTGGCCTCCACATGCAGGAATGCACATGTGCATGTGTACCTGCACACACGCACATACACACAAACATGGGCATATACATATACACATCATGAGAAAATTATCTTGTAAACTTGGCACGGTGATGTGCCCTGGAATTCCAGGACTCTGGCCGTTGAAGCAGGAGGGTCCGTGCAAGTTTGAGACCAGCCTGAAAGAGAGAGAGGGAGGAAGAAAGGGAGGGAGGAAGGAGGGAGGGAAGGAGGGAAAGGAAAAGAGGAAGAAAGGGAGGAAGGAGAGGAGGGAGAGAGGGAGGGAAGGAAGGAAGGAAGAAAGGAAGGAAGGAAGGAAAGAAAGAAAAAAGGGAGAGAAGGAAGGTTGGTTCACAGCACTATATAATCTTCTCTTGGGCTACATAGTGAGACCCTATCAAAGAATGGAAAAGAGAGGGCTAGAGAGATGGCTTAGCAGTTAAGAGCACTGGCTGCTCTTGCAGAGGACCTGGGATGGATTCCCAGCACCCACATGGTGGCTAACCACCGTCCCTAACTCCAGTTCTGACCTCTGTGGGCATTGCAAGACACAGGTACACTTACATACATGCAAGCAAAACACTTATATGTTAAAAATAATAAAATATTAAAAAATGGAAAGGAGGAAGGGAGGGAAGGAGGGATTGAAGGATTCACAATGCTGAAGGAAATGATCTAGCTGTGAATAAGAGGCAGAGCCGGACATCAGATGCTTGCTTTGCTGACTCCAAGGCCAGGCACCTCTTTCCTGGTATGAGTGACTTGCCTCACTGTTTGTTGCAGCTGAAAACTTGGGCACTCTGGAAGCTGGGAGCCCTTGCTCAGTGACTGTCTGCTTCCTTCCGCAGTCAGCCCCAGCAAAGAGATCAAGATTGTGTCTGCAGTGCGGAGGAGCAGCATGAGTAGCTGTGGCAGCAGTGGCTACTTCAGCAGCAGTCCTACACTCAGCAGCAGCCCCCCTGTGCTGTGTAACCCTAAGTCTGGTGAGTGCAAACAGGACAGCCATGGGCCTGACTGTGGAGAGTGGGGCTCATGTGCAGCCTGGGTCTCATGGGAAACAGAGATGGAGGGAGCCAGTTAGTGTTCAGGAGTCTTTTAAAATATATTTTATTTTATTTTATGTATATGAGTGTATTGCCTGCATGTATATAAGCGCACCCGTGCCATGCAATACCCACAGAGGTCAGAGGAGGGCGCCGGATCCCCTTCCAGTTGTTAGTCACCATGTGGGTGCTGGGTCCTCTGCAAGAGCAGCTAGTGCTCTTAACCACTGAGCCATCTCTCCAGCCAGTGTTCAAGAATCTTTTGGTTGATACCCGTTGAGCAGAAGAGAAGGGAGCAGCTGCCATGCAGCCTCAGGGAAGGCTGTTGCTGACCTCAAGGCTCTCCAGCTGGGATGGGCCTGCAAACCTGCAAGGACTTGTGCTGAGGGAGCAGGGCCACATGCTTTCATGTTGACCTGTTATTCAACATTGGCTCCTCTGAGAAGGCCTGGCCTTGCTCTAGATACCTGACTTTAGGCAGATGGTTCTCCAAGTCAGTTGAGGACTGTCTGCCACCAGCACTGCCAGCAGCTGGGACAGGCAACTGAGAGGAGTCCCTGGGCCCTCACAAAACAAGGAGGGCTTCAGCAGCTTCAACTGCAACAGGGAGAGCCTGCCTCACCAGCCTCTGGCAAACGCAGATCTATCAGGGCCCTGTGCTTTACTTTCCTTGGCTTTTTGAGACAGGGTCTTGCTATGTAGCCCTGCCATGCCTGATACTCAGTATGTAGCCCAGGCTAGCCTTGAACTTGTCACAATCCTCCTTCTGATCCCCGCAACCCACACTAGTACTGGGGTTACAGGGATGTGCCACCATGTAGAACTTCAGGGCCTAGTACTCATAAAGAAGTAGGGTTGTATGCAAACCCCTGTCCCTGGAATTCCTTGGTACCTTGTAGCTTTGAAATCTATACATCAGATTCCACAAATACCTTTTTTCTTTCTGTATATTTTTTTATTGAATTTTTGTGTATTTCATATAAAACACCTTAATCATCTTCATACCCCCTCCCCTATCAGCAACTTCCCATAGCCCCCCCCACCAGATTTCATGTATTCTATCATTTATTTTAAGGCCTATCAAGTCAAGTTCATGTACCCAGACAACCCTTAGTATCTTAGCTGAAGAACCATGAATACCTTTTTATTCTAGGAAGAAAATCTAGGCTTAGACTGCTGATGAATTTGTAGTAAGAAGCAGTTCTTTCTTGACCCAATTTTTCAGCCCCCTCCCCCTGGCCCAGGAACCTGTTACATACCAATATTACCCACACTCATCATGAGAGGATGTTGTATTCTTACTGTATGGTTTAGTGTATTTTGTACCATCAGTTCAGTTTAGCATCTTCAGGAAAGTTTGCTCCTTTATTTTATTTTTATGTTTCATTTATTTGGAAGGGTGCATACATGCCTTGGTATACGTGTGAAGGCCTAAGGACAGCTTTCAGGAATCAGTTCTTTCAATCAGGGATTGAACTCAGGTCATGAAGCTTGGTACTTGGTAGCAAGTACCTTTACCTGCTGAGCCATCTTGATGGACCTTTTATTTCATTTAAAGATTTTTTTTTTTTTTTTGGTCTTTTTTGAGACAAGGTCTCCCTGTAGCCCCAGCTGACCTGGAACTCATTATGTAGACCAGGCTGCCTTTGATCTTATAAAGATCCTCTTGCCTTTGCCTCCCAAGGTCTGGGATTAAAGGCATGCACCACTACACCTGGCTGATTTAAAGAATTTTTTTAACCTTGTATATTTGCATGTGTGTGTATAGGTTCATGGGCCCATGCATATGCATGTAGAAGTCAGAAGTTAACATTGGGTGCTTACCTCTGTCTTTCTCTCTCTACCTTATTTTTAAAATTTTTGTTTATAATTTTTATTTTATGTATATGAGTGTATTATCTGCATGTAGGTAGATACATCCATGTCCCGCAGTGCCCTTGGAGGTCAGAAGAGGGTGTCAGATTCCCCGGAACTAGAGTTACAGATGATTGTTAGCAGCCATGTTGGTGCTGGGAACTGACCCCAGGTCCTCTGCAAGAACAGCCACTGCTCTTTACTGAGCTGTATCTTTATCCCCTCTATACTATTTTTTGAGACATGGTCTCTCACTGGATTGGAACTCCCTGTTTTCACTACAGTGGCCAACCAGCAAGTCTCCAGGATCCACTTGTTTCTGCTCCCTCACTGTTGCCGGGGTTACAGCCCCATGCCGCCATGCCCAGCTTTTATGTGGATCTGAACTCAGGTCCTCGTGCTTGCACAGCAAGAACTAAGCCAGTTCCCCAACCTCTCCTTTATTTTATTTATTTAAATTTACGTTGATATTTTGAAACCAGACCTTTGAAACCAGGCTAACCTCAAACCTGCTAAATAACTGAGGATGGCCTTGAACTCTAGATCCTCCTGCCTTCTGCCTCCACCTCATAAGTTCCTTTTATTTTTGTATTTTCCTTCTCATCAAATCTTGGGGATACAGAAATGAGTGATCACAACCCTTTTGCTCAATACCTCATTTGCTTAGAGGAGAAGCCAAAACATTCCATTAATGACAATAAGGACTAAGAGCTATCATTCAAAGAGCTCCACAATAAGCTATTAAAAATTCACCATCTCTAATGCCAGGATATGCATTAATATTTTTTGTAGTACATACAAATGTCTGAGTGCACCCCCCCCAAAAAAAAATGAGAAAAAAACACGGCCAGTGAGAAAGCTCAGGGGGAAGCCTGAGTTTGATCCCCAGAGTCCACATTGTAGGAGAGAGCATACTCTCCTGGGTTGTCCTTCAGCCTCCATACAAGTGCAATAGCACACATGCGTACCCATACACACCTCCCCTCACATACACAGCACATATATGCATGCATATACCATACATATATACATAATAAAACACACACATATGCATAACCACACACACACACACACACACACACACACACACACAGAAACTCACAGAGACTTTCCTGCCTAGTCTGCCACCACACTCACCTTCTAGTTTCCATGTTTCCATAATTGATATCTTGGTGAAAAGTAAGTAAGCTTCCAACAGTATATGAAGAGAAATCTGCAGGAGAATTCCCTGAACTTCAAAGTTTCTATGCTTTTCAACATAATAAAGTAAAAAAGCACATTAAAATAAACATCCAGCGGTGCTGCCAAAAGAACAGTACGGAGATTCCTAAACCCCTAAGGACTTACAGGCCTGGAGGGAGCTTGTCTGCTGCGCAGTAAGGAAATCTCAGTCCTCAAACATTCACTTCTCTTGACTCTTGACTACTGAATGATTCTATTCTCTTTTTGGACCTACTTTCTCATCTTTAGCAAGCATCAATCCATTTGCTCTTTTAAATGCTTTCTGAGAGCAAAAGTAATAATCCCGCCATGTGTGGTGGCGCAGAGGCAGGGGCAGGCAGATCTCTGTGAGTTTGAGGCCAGCCTGGTCTCCATAGCAGATCCAGGCCAGCTGGGGCTACAGGGAGACCGTCTCAAAAAGACCAATACTACTACTACTACTGCTACTACTACTAATAATAATCCCACAGCCACCTGTCACCTCCAAAGTTCATGGCCCTTAACTGAGAGAGTGTTTGTTAAGCCTGAAGCTCACCCAGCAGGTGGGCCCAGCTGCCTGTGGATTATGCAGGCCGCCACATGCTGTACAATTGTTGGGACTGGGGGTCTGACCTATGACTGCCACTAGCAAAGGGAACTGGCAGTGGGTCTTCTCCAGGGTGAACTCTTCCAGCTCCTTCCATTTCTATATGGCACATAAGTCTTTTCTGTGCTTGTAACTATGTTAGAATGGTTCCTGTGTCCTATTGCACTGGCTGTTCTGAGAGGCTAGACAACCTCTTCTTCAGTTCTGAATGATCAGGGGATGGGCAGAAAAAGTCATTACTAGAGGATGAATGGAGAAGTTCATTACTAGTAGGGTTTCAAACAACTGTCTCTGGCATCTTGGTAGACAACAGTAGTGAGCTAAAAATAGATACCTTAATGGGACAACAGTCCACGCTCTTGTCTGGCAGAACTCCTGAGACAGCGTAGCACAGGCCAGTGTGACTATTGCTGAACTAATTCTTGTATTCTTTAGCTACAGGACCTTGGGCATGAGCCAATTAATTTTTTTGTTTGTTTTTGTTTTGGGTCTTTTTGAGACAGGGTCTCCCTGTAGCCCCAGCTGGCCTGGAACTTGCTATGTAGACCAGGCTGGCCTTGAACTCACAGAGATCTGCCTGTCTCTGCCCCTCAAGTGCTGGGATCAAAGGCATGCACCCCCACACCTGGTGAGCAAATTAATTTTTATGAGCTTGTTTTCTCACATGTAACATGGATAGCAGAAAAAAAGAAAAGAAAAAAGAAAAAAGAAGATATAATGCCAAGCATACTGTCACATAGCTGCAATCTTAGTACTCAGGAGGTTGAGATTGGATTGTCATAAGCTTGTGATCAACCTGGCCTACAGAGCACACTGAAAGAGAGAGAGAGAGAGAGAGAGAGAGAGAGAGAGAGAGAGAGAAACAGTGATGAATCAAACTCATTAGATTATTAGCTCTGGTAATGATTTAGCAGCATGCAGAGCAGTGCCCAGCCCATGGAAAGTATTCAGGAACGTTCCCTGGCCATACTACTCAGGGTTTGAGACAGTGTATATATGAATTCTTGTGTTCCTAGGTTATTTATTAAGCAAAAGAGTCAAGTTTAGTGAATGGGAGGTATGCAGTATGTAGAGCCTGGAGTGGGAGTTGGATGACACATGTTCCCTCAACAAGGCTAAAAGACTGCTAGAGTTAGAGTTCTGACATGTACAGATGCACATAGGGATTTACAAGAAAGAGATGGAAGAATTGAATTGGAAGCATAGCCTTCTCTTTTATAGGAAAATCTCAGTCCTCTCCTTTGTCCCCTTCCAGGGCACCTTGGTTCCTGTCCCTTCATCTCCATGGTTCTGTAAATTAGGTTTAAGGTTATTTGTTTGCTGATACTTCCTGTCTCCTCAGCTAAAGGATAAATGTGGGGTAGAGGTCTTTTCCACTTTTACTGGTTGGCATTCAGGAAATACCTGCTGAGAGAACAGCAGAAGAAGTTAGAAGTTCATAGTCCCTGATGCTCTGTCTGTCTCTCAGTGCTGAAGAGACCCGTGACTTCTGAGGAACTCCTGACTCCTGGGGCTCCATATGCAAGGAAGACATTCACGGTAAGCTTAGTTCCTGCACATGGCCATGTGTCAATGTATAGCTTCTAGACCAAACTGAACTGAATACTTTGCCCTAATTCCCCCCTCTGCACACCATTTTTTTAAGACAGAGTCTCACTATGTAATTCTGGCTGACCTGGAAATTACTATATAGATTAGTCTGGCCTTGAACTCTGTTTCTGTCTCTTAGGTGCTAGGGCATGAACCACCATGCCCAGCTGTTCCTTTAGTTTTTAACATAATTATAATAGTACATTTTTGTGGTGGCCACTATATGATGCCACTTTACAGCTCTGCCCAAATAAAGACAGCCTGACCCTTAGCATCCATTTTAGCCAAGAGGAAGCCTGAACTGCTCTGAACACCCGTTCCTGCTGAACCATGCTCACAAACACGGTTTTGGTCTGCCTTTTGTTGAAACAGTAAATGCAGCATGAAGTGGGGAAGTAAATATTGGACCCTTACCTTACCAGATAATTGTGTCCCTTCTGAGTCCTTATTGACCTAGAATAGCATGTACACAAACAGGCGTTATCAATTTAATCTCTGTTATTTGCAACACAAATGAGATCATCTCTGTTGTTTCTAATTAATATGCAAAGCATACACATATATTCATACATTGTTTTGGGTCAAGGGCAAGGAAAGGTTATGAGGGATTAAGACTATACCTTTTTAGGTTACAAGATGAACAAGATGCTCAGTGACCTTGTCTGCATTATAGGCAAGCTAAGATAAGATTAACTTTTTGGTTGCAAGGTTAAGCAAAAGTCATTTGTCCAGAGTATGTTCATTTTGTAAAAGTCATTCCTATAGATTTTCTCAACTCTAAGATGCTAAAATACATGAAGACTTATTATGATTTGTTAGTCATGTGGCATTTCAAATTGTTTTTGATGTATCCCTTTAAATATCTACTATGCACTTATTCTAATGTAATTATGTACTTTTTTTTTATTTTTTGGTCTTTTTGAGACAGGGCCTCCCTATAGCACCAGCTGTCCTGGAACTCACTGTGTAGACCAGGCTGACCTTGAACTCACAATCTGCCTGCTTCTGCCTCCCGAGTGCTGGGATTAAAGGCCTGCATTACCACGCCCAGTGTAATTATGTAATTTTAAGACAAATGGTAGTACAAAAAATTCCAACCATTTCTTCTGTTACAGTTAATTTAAAAATCATTAAGACATTTAGAAAATCCCAAGGAAGAGAAAGGAAACAGGATGAATTGTTCCAACTTGAGGATACTGATGTCCTTGACAATGTTAGCATGCCTTAAAGTTTATAGCCACCTGACTTGGGGCCCTGAGTAGTTCTGTGTTGATGTAAGAAGAGGAGATGTTCAGGACTTTCCCTTTCTTAGCAACCCTGAGGCCTTCCCTCTGCCACCCCAGCACCCCAGTGATTTTATTTAAATTCTTTAGGTATCTCATGTAGCCCAGGCTGGCCTCAGTCTCACAGTATAGCCAAGGCTTATTTTGAATTTCCAATTCTCCTGCCTCCACCTCTAAAGTGCTAAGATTGCAGACCTGTGCCTCCACAGTGGGTTTATGCAGTTCACACAAATACCCTACCAACTGAGCCACATCCCTAGGCCTCTCCGAGTTTTGCTATTGGCATCACCTCCCCTGTCCCCCTTACTTTCACCTTCTCTCATCCCCCCTCCACCACCCACATCAACATCCTCAAAAAGCTTGTTTACTCTCTTCCACTGTTTGATACGTGTTTTTTACTTCAAGGGAAAGAAATCTTCCCACATTCATTTATACCACAGACACTTGTTGAGTGCTCTTTCCCTTGCTGAGCACTGAGAGTTGACATAAGAGCTGTTATATGTCTATATCAGGGGAAAGGCAAACTGGAAATGTGGAAGTGATATTAGATTTGGTAAACTCATAATAGCAAACCCTAAAATCACAGAAGTGTCCGAAAGTCACTTGAGAATGTCCTTAAACATTCCCATTTGCATCCCTGCTTTTCCTTCGAGTCCAGCTTTTGTGGGATTGCTGGTTGTATTTTGAACCTCATTTGTTTTACTTTTCATTAAAGTGCCAACATTACTAGTACTTGACTGTGAACATGTTTCATTTGCATTTCAGTTGACTACACATTAAGGATGCATCTGGAACCCTCTAGTAAATTCAACTGCCAGTTCTAATGATTTCTTGGGAAAAGGCATTCTTTGATAGCAAACAATGTTTGGATCAGAATCTATTTGGAAATTGTGAACTTTACTTGATTTTCTTGATTAGAGAAAACTGTCTTTCAAAAGAGGGAAAATACCTTCCTATTTCCTACTGTTAGTAATTTAAAGTGTTAGTCTAGACTTAAGTGATATAGCTGGATCGAACATGTATCATTCAAATATGAGGGAAAAAACAAAGTTGAGGTAGAAAGAAAAAAATGCAGTAATGTTTTAAAGGTCTTTTAACTCTTCTGAAGTGTGATACGAAATTGGCTCCCGCCCAAGGAAGAGGCATGCTGCCAACAACTTTTGAGGAGCGACCTCCCTCAATGCATCTTCCTCCTGCCAGAGAGGTCACATGTCTCTACCACATTCTCATCCCCCTGACACAGTAGAGATGAAATGGAAAAAAAGATACGTCATGACACATAGTTCATGCTAGGTCAGATTTCACACTTTTGGAAGAATAGGCAAATTGCCAGGAACAGTCTCCTGATTACCAATTGTGGTTTTCCTTTCTAGATTGTTGGTGACGCAGTTGGCTGGGGCTTCGTTGTGCGAGGAAGCAAGCCATGCCACATCCAGGCTGTGGACCCCAGCGGCCCTGCAGCTGCAGCGGGGATGAAGGTACGAGCAACTGTCTGCTCACTTCCTCTGTCTCCTCCTGCTTCTTCAGAGTGCATTGATCATGATTTTTTTTTTAACTTCCAAGTTCCTTCTCAAAAAGAGTCAAGTCTGTAGGGCATGGTGGCACAAACCTGTAATCTCAGCACTCTGGAGGCAAAGGCAGGAGGATCTCCATAAGTTGGCTTCCAATTTGATCAGGAAGCACTTGGTTATCTCCATAGCTGTCATGCCACTATTGTGCCATTAGGCACATCTTGCCTGGCAGGTGGGTATTGTAGCATGCAGGGTCCACCACTTGTTAAGTCCATTGGTGATCCTCCCCCCCGCCCCCCGCAGTCCTATAGGGCATAATACAGCACTATGAAAGCTAGTTAGTAGGGATTTCCAGGTCAGTTCCAACTTGATTTCTCTAGGTCCTACAACCAAAACATGCTTCATCTTCAACAGTAAGGTCTTATACTCTAGCCATTGTGGACAACTAAGAGCAATGGCAATAGCCTGTGTTGTTTGGGGGGGCGTCTCTGGAGCCTCCCTGACCAATAACTTATAGGGACATATCCCATACCTTGCCCTGAGATTTTTATTTAATAACCCATGTCTTCTAAGAGGAAGCACTGTCCACTAATGCAGGGTACCTCTGTTTATATCCTTTAAAAAAGTAAATTATATTTTTAATTAGTTTACAAAACAGTTGGTTTCTCCATGCATCTTTAGTTTTGGTTAATCTATGTCTTATCCCCTCCTTCCCCAATACCTTCATCCCTACTTAAACTATTAAGCCCCAGTATTTCCCCCATCCCATGTTTTAAACACCTTTATCATCTAGCACCTCTGTGAAACATGTCACAGAAGATACTGACCTCTGATGATCTGGGATGATGGAAGGATTCAGAAGACTGAAAAGCTCCACATTTTTCCCATTCATTCCCTCAGTGTTTTTCTTCGCTCCCATCAAATCTTTGCTTGGTGGTATTAACCAGGACAGCAGTGGCAGCATCTGGATCGCCACTGGTCTGGATGCCAACATGTGCCCTCTGGCATTGGTTTACATACTTTGAATGATGAATAACAAAGCATGGCCCAACCAGGCATGATGGTGCACGCCTTTAATCCCAGCACTCAGGAGGCAGAGGCAGGTGGATCTCTGTGAGTTCAAGGCCAGCCTGGTCTACATAATGAGTTCCAGGCCAGCTGGGGATACAGGGAGACTGTGTCTCAAAAAGAAAAAACAAAACAAAACAAACAAACAAACAAAAAAACCCAAACAAAGAAAGCATGGTCCAAGGAAGCACAGGGCAGTTTTACTGCTGGTCTAGTATTAAGGGCTGGCTCTGCCTCACCTCTAACTACCTGTTTGAAGAACTCACCCCACCATGTTCTGTGCTCTAATCAACTCTGACCTCCTCCTTGGCTAAGGTGGTCAGGGTTAAGAGTCCCAGCACCAAAGGAGCTGGGGTCCTAAAGGGTAAGTGCTTATATCCCAACTGAGGCTGAATTTTTCATTTTCTAATGGAATTCTTGACTGAAGAAAGGATTTTCTATTTTATTTCCATAGTAAGTACCCAGTATAAATTGTTTTTGGCATACCGCTTCAGTTCTTGAGCCTGCACTCCTTCACATGAGGAAGGATTTGGCTTAAAACACATTTCCTTTGAGGGTAGCAATGCGTTTACGTGGCAGCTGAAGACCTTGCTTTGCTTAGCCAAGTAGACAAGGAATTAAATTGGTTTTAGTATGTCTCTAGTGATTAACTTGCATAACATCTTGGGCATTGTCAGCTGATTAATTAATGAAATCTTTATTCTCTATACCTGGATAGTTTTCCTAGCTTTTCTCTCTTTTTCTAAGTGAAAACTTTATTTGATTTGTGTTCTTATTTTCTCTGGAGGTATGCAGTGGTTTTCACATAGCAGAGCGCAGGGCTGAGTTTATCAGAGCAGCCTTTTCACGATTTTATTATACAGCATTCTGGTTCAGCAAAATGCCCTGCCCTGAGCATCCTTGCTCATAATGCCTTCTGTCCTGTTCTTGGAAATTAACAAAACACATGAACATATTTATAACTCTGCTAAAACAGACTGCGGAAAAATGTGTTTAAATTATATAACATGGCAGTTTATCATATAAGAAAAACATTGGCATATGCCTGTAATCCTGGGACTCAGGAAATAGAAACAGGAGGCTTGCAAGCTGAAAGCCAACCCATGCAATATAGCAGGGCCGTGATGAGGAGGGGGAGACCACACACACACACACACACACACACACACACACACAGAGAGAGAGAGAGAGAGAGAGAGAGAGAGAGAGATTTTCAAATAAGAAGATACTTTTGCCCAAACTGCATTGGAATGAATCTGTATCTATATGTAAATATATGGAGATGCATGTAGGATGTTGATCTTGGATGGTGTGGGGTGATGGGAGGATCAAGAAGGCTGGAAATCTCCATATCAGTCTTCCCATCCATTTATCAGTACTTCCATCCCCTCCCATAGAATCTTTGCCAGTAAACCAAGCTGGCCTCAAACTCATGATCCCCCTGCTTCCACCTCCATGTGCTGGGCTAATAGGTATGCACTACCATGCCCAGCTTAGAGATACATTTTTAAATTATACTATTGGTTACAGCGAAAATAATGGCAAGGGACATGCCTTCAAACAGTTTAGATATGTATAGTCACTAGAAATTATTTTGTGCATTATTTTCCTACCTGAAGCACTGAGGAAATTATCTCATATTACCATGTAGGTTGCTATAGAATAATTTCACTTCCATTAAAGTCCAGTTGTGGTAGGGGGTGGCTAGAGAGATGGTTCAGAGGTTAAGAACACTGGATGCTCTTACAGAGGACCCAGGTTTGGTTCCCAGCATGCACATGGTGGCTACAACTGTCCTTAACTCCAATTCCAAGAGATCTGATGCCCTCTTATGGTCTCTGCAGGCATTACATAGCATGTGGTGTACTGACGTAATATGTAGGCAGAACACTCATACACATAAAATAAAAATAAATAAATATAAAATTTAAAAAGTAAAGTCCAGTTGTGGGCAGATGAGATGGTTCGGTGGATGAACTGCCAAGCCTGTTGACCTTAGTTTGTTTCCTGGGACCCACATGATGGAAGAAGACAGATGACTCAAAGCTGTCCTCTGACCTCCACACATATGCCATGGCACACACACATAATTGTAAAAAAAATAATTTTAAGTCAGTTATAAAATCTAATCTTTGCAGTTTATTTCCACTAACTTGTCATATCTCTGTTACTTTTATATAGGAAGGTTCAGGGCTTTGGTTGTGTGGTCCTGGGGTTGGGATTCCATTGGGGTACCCTTGGGAAAGGATCCGTGTACCTGGGCATTTATTGGCTTGCTTGATTTAGGAGATAGAAATTATCCAATATGACCTAGGATAGAGATCAGTGGTAGAGCATCTGTCTAGCATGTGTGGGGCCCTAGGGGTAGAGGAGTGAAAGAGAAAGAAAGAAAAAAGAAGAAATTATCTGGTGGGATGGCCAGATATCATCATTTTAAAATTTACTTAATTCATTTGTGTGTGTGTGTGTGTGTGTGTGTGTATCTGTCTGTCTGTCTGTCTATAAGTGATTCTTAGTGTTAACTGTCAACATGACCCAATCTAGAATCATCTGGGAAGGGAGTCACGATGAGATTGTCTAGGTCAGGATAGCCTGTGGGCATGTCTGTGAGGGATTATCTTCATTAGGGTAACTGAGATGGGAAAACATGTTCCCTGTGGGTGGCGTCATTCTCTAGGCCATGGATTCTGAATTATACAAGTGGAGATCACTAGCATGCATGCATTCATAGCTCTCTCTTCCTGATTATGGAACTGATATGACCAACTCCCTCAGCTCTGGCACTGTGATTTCCTTATTATGATGAACTATAACCTGGAACTGTGAGCTAAATAAACCTTTCTTTCCTAAGTTTCTTTTGTTCAGGGTATATTATCACAGCAACCAGAAAAGAAACTAACAATATATATGTGTATGTAGTGTGTATATGTGTGGTATGTGCATGCAACAGGAATGCACGTACCTATGCATACTGTAAAGGGGTGTCAAGTGTCTGCTTTTATCACTGTCTTCCTTCTTCCTTTGAGACAGGATCTCTCCCTGAACCTGGAGCTTGCATTTTTCAGCTACGTTGGCCACTAGCAAGCCTCAGCAAACTTATCTCTGCTTCTCTCAGCCTAGGCTTACAGGTGTATGTGGGGTCACACCCAGTTTCTACATGACAGGTAGGATCTGAACTTTGCTCCTCATGCATGCACAGCAAGTGCTTTTAACCATTGAGCCATCTTTCCAGCCCTCCCCTTTGTCTTTTATTTTATTGAGACAGTGTTTCATAGCCCAGGCTGGACTTGATGTAGCCAAGGATTACCTTGACCTCCTGATCCTCCCAAGTACTAGGATCACAGGTGAAACCCATCATGCCCAGTCCTAATTTATACAGTGCTGGGGATCAAACCCAGGGTCCCATGCATATTAGGCAAACACTCTACCAACTGAGTTACATCCCCAATCCCAGATGTAGCCTTTTAGCACCTCTGATTGATACAAGCTACCCCAGCAGGTGTAAAGTGGCCATCTTGGCCTCAGTGACCCTTTTACCCTAATTGTCAGCCTCTCCTTATGTTATGGTTTAGATCTGAAATATTCCCCCAGAGGACCATGTTTTGAATGCTCAGGCCTCAGCTCGTAGGTTTATTTTGAAGGCTATGGAGCCTTTGGGGGTGATGACTGGCTGCCAGACACCTATCTCTAGGGGCGGCCTTTTTTATGTTATACTCTCCTCTCTTCCCACTGTAGTCTCTGCTTCCTGATCTTTTAGCATGTGAACAGTTGCTCTGCCCCACACTCCCGCCATCCTGCCTTCCCCACCATGATGGGCTAAATTCTCTGAAACTTTGAGCCAAAAATCAGCCTTTCCTCCCTTAAGTAGTTTCTGACAGGAATTTTGTCACTATGAGGAG